ATAATTAAATTTCCAAACAATGACAACGTCAGGGAAATTAATTAAATAGCTTTCGTTGATGGACGGATAAGAAATTTGGATTAAAAAATTGTTGACAGTAATTTTAACTGATGTAAATTATATTACTATTGTTAAGATAATGAGAGAAAATGTCATTTAAAAAATTCATATTGAAAGTTTTTTTAGCCAAAAATAACATTCATATGAATTAAAACTCAAATTTAAATTGTTTATTTGTATAACGAAAATACAAAACGTTGAAAAATGAATTTTAATTTTTCAAAGTCAAATGAATATTTATCAATTTGACAAAAAAAACATCTGATTATATATTTACTACTACTGCTACTTATATGCTAATCAGAGATAACAGTAATAGTGATAATGTTAACAGCGATGATGATGATAATGAGGATGATGTTAAACATTCTGAACTACTATCAATTCATATTTATTTCCGATTGCAAACCTTACGGAGAAATAATAAATTTGACTAATTATTATATACTTTTTTAAAAAGAATACGAGTCGCTTCAGATATGAAAAAGTTGGATGTTTTGTGGGGAAATCTACACCTGTTTTTAAGGTACATATATTAAAAATTAAATGGATTATATTGAAATAATGTTTACTTATTTCTGCTTCTTTTTTTATGGTTGTACATTTTGATCAAATTGACCCCTTCTCAATTTTGTTGACATTCTGAGTTAATATACAGCTATCGCAAACTAGTTAAATGGACAAAAATGACCCAAGAAGTAATCCATTTTGGGTCACTTTTGTCCATTTGTAACCGGAAATTCCTGGCTTTACCGCAAATTTAGAGTAACCTGAATTCGGCTTTTCACCACATTTAAAGTAACCTGAATTCGGCTTTTCACCACATTTAAAGTAACCTGAATTCGGCTTTTTACCACATTTAAAGTAACCTGAATTCGGCTTTTCATTACTTTCCAACATATTTTAAATGGACCAATCCTTGGAACTGCTGTAATGGTGTTAAATCAATTGTACTGATAAAATATCGTGATGATAGCGAGATGTCACCACCTATATTTATCACTCGCTGATTGACCTGATCTTGTAGTGGTATTGCTATTAATTAGCAAGCCTGTTATTTTTCTATTGTTCATGCTGACCTCATGTTTATCTCTGATCGATAAGTGCAAAAAAATGGAATGAACAAGACACGGCCTTCGAGACTGCACTAGAACGAGCATTGCACTTCAACAAGAGATGGCAGACACAATAGATCTAATCGATATGTGAACAGAGACGTCGTTTTTGCTCGAAATTGCTGGAAAATTCCGATTAAAAGACTATATAAACGAAGCTGGGACCACTCTGACACTTTGATCTGTCAACCTGATCCAGCCAAGGAATCATGCAATATTTCCCTTTGCTACCATCACTCTTATCCGGTCGAGCAAAGGACGGTAATTCACCGGACGGTTCTTTCCACCCTTTCCTTTTCTCAGTTGTTTTCTTTCAAATTATTTAAGTAGTTATTTGACCAAATTCTGAGTGGTTCGAGATTAGCCTAAGGCTGCATATGTCCTATTGGTAGTGGGTTGGATCGTCTGATATAGTAAGCATTAGGATGACAGGATTATCCTTACAGATTAGACGGATAATTTTCTTCTTTCTATTCTATCAGTTAATTTATTAGCAAACGAGTTAATAAATGTATTCTAACATTTTCCATTTTTACCCCTTGTACTAGGCCATCAAGGCTTACAGTATCTGTCATGTCCTTGCCCGTATTTATACTAATTCATTCATATCTTCTGCATTGGTTAGTTGTGTAATTTCGATTTGGTCGAATGTTTTTCGAATTTTATTTTTTCAATTACTTCTAACTTTAGAAGAATTCGGCTATCATTCAATAAACTGAACAATGTCACTTTTC